CCACCCTTAAACATCAAGCTGAAGAACTTTGTCAAAGCCATTGACAAAACACAAGCAGCTTTCAAGTACCTCTATGGAAAATTTCGAAGGTTAAGTGAAGCTAAGATAAAGGAAGGTGTCTTTGTTGGTCCTCAGATTCGTGAACTTCTTCGAGATGATGCATTTGACCATGCACTGCGTGGCAAGGAAACGACGGCATGGAAAGCCTTCCAGTTAGTGGCAATAAATTTTCTTGGAAACAACAAGGCAGACAACTACAGGTTGTTGGTGGAAAACCTCCTCAAGGCATACAAAAGCCTTGGTTGCAACATGTCACTAAAGATACATTTTTTGCACTCTCATCTAGATTTTTTTCCACCGAACTGCGGAGCAGTGAGCGACGAGCACGGCGAGCCATTTCACCAGCACATTGCAACAATGGAGAAACGCTATCAGGGCAAATGGAGCCCATCAATGCTTACAGACTATTGCTGGACAGTGACAAGAGATGCTCCATTTAATGAATACAAGAGACAAGCCAAGAAGTGCCGAGTAGACACTGAATAGGACTAAACTATGTACATAATAGTTTTTTGCCTTTTGTTTCATAATAAATTTTATTTATATAACCCTTTCGCTGATTTTTAAAGTGTTACATAAACAGGACAGATGAAATATTATCATGTAAAGCAACCATAAACACATGAAAAGACCTAGGTTTACAATTTATGATTAAAACTCTATCTACACAATATGCATAGACATAAAATGTAAAAACTTAAATATCTTAGAAACAGTAGCCAATCAGTTGTTTTAATTGTCATATTTGAATTCAGCACATCAAAATACATAATAAATAGCACATTTTATCTCTGAAGCATACGACTTCTCAAAAATTGTAGACCAGTGAATAATTGACTCTGCAACATGAAGCTAAGATTGTGCAGGTTTTCTGTTGATTATTAAACCACAAGAGCCTTATAACATGTCAAATTTGGGTGTAAGTTATTCCTGGCGGGTTTGCAAAATTCTGGTCATCCCTAGTGCTTAACTTTGTTTGACAGATAAACAGAATGTGATTAGTGTTATCATCAGCATCATTCTAAAATATGGAAGAGTAGATTTTGTGCCCAGGTTGGCAAACTTTCTTCATATTTTTGCAAGGAAGACGTTGGGAATTGAACGTCAACAAAAATGTGTATATTAGATTTTTGTCCCACAGTTTTTGTCAGTTTCTGCCTTGCATAATTATTTCTATTGTTTTGATCTTTAAACGTCTCTCTGCTCCTCAGAGAGAATAGCAAATCTGGGTTCCTTTTTGAAGATATTTTCCTGCTAATAGCCAAAAAAAAGTCTTTTTAAAAAAATAGGTTCAATTGTGACACTTCTTGTAATGCAGTGTAGTGGTAGCCGTGTTGGTCCCATGATATTAGAGAGACAGGATGGGTGAAGTAATGTCTTTTATTGGACCAACTTTATAAAGCTAACTTATAAAGTTGGTCCAATAAAAGATATTACCTCCCACAGCTTGTCTCACTTCTTGTAATATGTCACAGTTCATGAAATGAAACTTTAAACTACAAGACTGTAAAACACAGCACATAAAACCTCCAGGGTTCAAAGTTATATGATACAACAATTGTTTACTGAGATGTCATAAAGTGGTGTTTATAAGTTAAGTACTGTAGATTAGGTAGCATAAGAGATGTTTTGTAACAAATGTGCTTGATAATCTTGACTTGAAAGGCAGCAATCTTGCAATGAATATGAAGTATATGATATATAAATATTTATAAAATGAAGATCAAATAAAAATATAATAAAATTACTTTGTTGCTGAGCCAGGAATCTAGGGGCTGTGGAGACACTGTCAAAACAGTCTATTCATTTTAAACTAATACTTTTAAGATACCTTGTTTGAGATCTATTCTCTGATGACATATGTGGGTAGATATAATATACCAGCATTAATACTACGACTCCAGATTTGAACATTCTTTTTTAACTTAACAGGTTTTGGGGCTTATCCAAAATATGAGTGTTTTCCAGTGCCCAAAATGTAAACATGAGACCCATATTTTTGGAGCTGATGGTGTGAGAGATCTAGCAAAAACCCTTGGACTAGATGTTTTAGGTAAGAATACTGATATGATTTTTATTGTTGATGGACAAATTCATGAAATGCATAAGGAAAACTCTTCTTGAAAAAAGTATGGGACTGCATTACTGTGATACTATATGTTCAAATAATGGTAAAGCAGAAAAAATGGTACAGTAATAATCTTAAATTGCTGAGTTGCATTACAATTTTTATGCTGTTTATTATCATTGTCTCAGGATTTTTCCTTTTAATGAAATGCTGGCTAGATTTGGAAGTTTGTGACAAATATGACTAGTATTCACATATATAAGGCCACAAGTGGGATAGTGTCTAAGGTAACTCCATCCACTGGATCTCAATGATCTTGACTATCGTTTAGATTGTAAACTCTTCAGAACATGGACTGTTCTGATATCTATGAATTATACAGCATACAACATTTAGTAACATGTATGCTGTGACATTTAGGACCTAAACTCTTCCCATTGGAGTCAGTGGGAGTTGGCCCATTGACTCCATTGGGAACAGGAATGCGCTTTTTATGTGGAAAACTTTGTAATCTGAACAGCAATGCATTAGACCCATTATTTTTGTACCTACATATAGAATACTGAATTGTTGCGTTTTGCATGGTGAGTAAGTAGTTTACATCTTGTTTTGAATCACACACACTTCTTGTCCAAGATCAGTTATGTGCCTCCCCATCTACACTGATACTTTTACATTATGATTAGACCACCTTAATTATTGTTAGTTGGGATTTCAGGAATATACTGGATTGCAAAATGTGGTTTCAAAAGAAAATTTATCTTAACTCATGAGGCATTCAAAACAAGAATTGTTCACATATTGATTTAATGTGGAATTATGTATAATTTTAAAATGTGGATTAATTGCTTACCTTTTTTAAAAATAGCATGTTTAAACCTGAGTGATCAGGAAGAGGTTATAAAACATAAACGCATATTTAAGTTGTTAATGAGATAATTGTGCATGCTAATGATGTATCTCCATGTATTACTGTAATTATGTCAATGATATTCCACAGTTTATCATTAAAATGAACCAGGAAGTTCATTTAAAATCTTCATAAAGACATAAAGGTCTGATACAAATCTAACATAGGAATGGAATTTAGAATTGAAGGCACACATTTAGGGTCACCTGGTGGAAGCATAATGTGTGGCAATCAGAGTCAAAGGGGATTGCTTCAGCCCTAGGTTATGCTGGTGGGTGCAAAGCCGCCATCCGCAGTGGTACAAGGTGCTTGGTCAGCCATTGATCTCCATAAGTGGCTTTTGCTGCTCCCAAAATGGGTAAAGTTGGCCAGGGATGGGAAGTCAGGGTGGAGCCAAGGGATTTGCTGATTCGGCAGGAGGGAGGAAGAGGTTTGAAGAGGAGTGGTTACAAACATACTGTTCTTCAGCCACTGATTAAAGAGCATGAATGTAGTGCTGGAAGGGTTCAAGTTAGTTTATATTGTACATAGAAGCATAGGAATTACCATACTGGATCAGACCAGTATCTGTCCTGTCTACAAGAGTGGCCAGTATCAGATACTTCAAAGGAAGAAAATCTGCAAGAGTCAATTTATCCACCCCCTCTGAGGGCTCCGATACAACCAGTAGCTCTAGTACCTCCACACTAGGGTGTCCCCCAAAACCAATCTGAGCTGCTGGTCTTTTACCAGGACCTCCTCAGGACCCACGAGGAGGAAGCTGATGAGGGGACCTGCGATTATGGGACCTACTTCTGATCCTCCCTCAAGCCACGTCTCTGGGCAGAGTTCCTCTGGGCCATGCTCCCTGGATGCCTTTGAGGAGCAGTGGGCACTGTCTGGGGTCTTCTGCTTGGGGTCCCCATCTGGATTCCTGATTTTGAACCTGTGACCCCCCATTTCCATCCCTGTCTTTTCGTTGGTTGTCTCCTATAATCATTTGATATCTGGGTCTGGTGGCTCCTCCCCTTAGACTGTGAGCCGGGGCCTTTAGATGTGGGCAGGCTTCTGTCCGCCCATCCCCAGTGCTTCAGTAGGTGCACTGACTTACCCTTTGCACAGAGCCTGCCGTGACTCAGCCTTCAGGCATGCAGCTGCAGCCTATCCCCCAGGTTCAAATATTTCCTCAACCGCACCAGAGCTGCAGATCACTCTGTGCAACTACCCAGCCAGAAACCCTTGTGCTGCCTCACAGTCACAGACTCTTGAGACTCCCAGCCTGCTCTTGACCCTGTTCCTGTTTCTGCTCCAGCCTTGCCCAAGCCCTGTTCCAATCTTGTCCTTGCCCTACCCTGCTCTTGCTCCAGCCCTGTTACTGACCCGCTCCAGGCTTACCTCTGCCTCCTGACCTTCCCTGGACCCCCAGACTCTGATTACCTGGCTTTGATCTTTGGTCTGTATCTGGACTCTGGCTAAGACTGTGACTTGGCTTGTCCCTGGACTCTGACTACCTTGCTTCAACCCCTGGCTTCCATCTGGACTCCAGCTATGGTACAAATTCTGGCTTCACTATGGACCCTGATCTTGGTTCTGACTCTGGCCTGTCCCCAGATCTCGATTCCAATGCCACACTTGGCTCAGTCCCGACTCGAAGTCTGGCTTTGACCTCTGGTCCAGCCACTAAGCCTGACTACTGAGAGGTAGCGCCTGACACCTAGCTTGGAAGACTCTGATGTTCCCGAGTCTTCTCCAGTTTTGACTAACCAAATAATTTTGTGTCACCTGCAAATTTTGCAACCTCACTGCTCACCCCCTTTATTATATCATTGATGAATATGTTAAACAACACTGGTCCTAGTATAGAACATTGTGACACTCTACTAATTAAAAATGAGGAAGATTGGCCATTTCTTTTCTGTGTCTCAGCCAGTTTCTGATCCATTACTTTGACCAACACAACATGAGTACTTAGTTTCTCTAGTAGCTTCTTGTAAGAAGCTTTGTTAAGGGCCTTCAAAAGTTCAAATAAAGTACATCAACCAGTTCCCCTTTATTGATTTCTGTATTAAGACATTCAGTTAATTCTAACAGATTTGTAGAGACATTTTCCTATGCAGAAGCTATGCTGGTTAGACCCTAATAAATTTGTGATCTCCTAGATCTCTTATAATTCTATTTTTAATTGTTTTTCGATACATTTATCAGATAAATTAAAGTAAGTAAGGCTTACTTGTCTGTAATATCCCAGATCACGTCTATCATCTTTTTAAAACACACAACAATTGCTACCCTTCAATCCCCTGGTATAGTAACTTTTTAAAAAAAATAAGAGTTTGCATGTTTTTGCTAGCAGCTCAGCAACTTCATTCTTAGATATATTGTGAACTCTTGGGCATATACCATCTGGACTCAATGGATTTGTTGCTTTTTAATTTATCAATTTGTTCCATCCCTTCTTTTGTGTTACCTCACTCTCTGATAGCGCGTCATTGTTATTACCAGAAAGGAGTAGGTCCCAGGCAGGTGTGCTCTGTGGTGAAGAATCGTGCAAAGAAATCATTTAGTTTCTCAGCAATATCCTTATCTTCCTTAACTGCTTGCTTTACCATAATGGTCCAGCAGACCCACTGATTCTCTTGCAGGTTTTCTGCTTCTAATATACTTACAGAATTATTTGTTTCTTTTTATACCTTTAGCTACTGTCTTTAACTCCATTAGATGCTTTTGTAAATCACCCTGGGCACCTATATGCATCTTTAAGCACCTAAATACCTTCATAAATGTGGCCCTCAATCCTTTTGAGAGCAGTAGGAGATGGCAGCCATTTTGAAAAAGGGAAGTTCTTTGTGTAATTCTATTGCTGCTGAAGCAGTAAATTTTAGTTGTGAAGACTGAATGCAAAAAATTACTCTGAATCCTAAAAATAATAGTCTTCAAAATGTGGCCTATGCACAAGATAACAGTAATTTTAACTATGTGGGACTTTGATGAGTCCGTATTATTCCATTACAAAGAACATTTGGGACAAAGAAAAGATCTGACCTGCAATGGTAAATTTCTTAAAGGACCAATTTTTAACTATATTTAACTAAAAAAAAAATTTATGGATTTACTTTAATTCTCAGAAAATTCATTCTGTGCCAAAAGCATAAGTATTGAGTAATTTTGGGGAGGATAGATTGTAGTCTTCATATATAACAGAAGTTGCATGTCTTCTTTAAGTGCAGAATTCAATTCAACCTTAATTATGGAGTCAATACCTGCAACTCCATACTTTTATTTTTATTTTTATTTTTTCTTTTAGGGTCTTTTTTACTAGCATCCTTCACTTTTTTTTTAAATCCTCTTTTAAAGTTCAGTGCAAGATTTTGATACCTTTCCTCCTCTAATGATATTGAACTTAAAATTTATTTTGGTCACCATTACCTAGGGGCTCAAATACAGATACTTCTTGGACCAACGCTTGTATGTTACTTACATCTAAGGGTTCGACAGTACCAGGGCTGGCTCCAGACACCAGCGAAGGAAGCATGTGCCTGGGGCGGCACATGCTAAGGGGCGGCACAGTCTGGGCGGCTTTTTTTTTTTTGGCTTCGGCAGCCCGGGCGGCTTTTTCGCTTGGGGTGGCAAAAAATGTAGAGCCAGCCCTGGACAATACCCATGCTTGCATCTGTTTAACTAGAGTTTTGTTTTGAAACTGCTTTAGTTAAACCACTGCAAGTTTATATACGAACACTTATTTCAGTTTAGCTATTTTTTCATTTATCTTAATCTGGTGTTAAAAATAAATTATATTAAAGCAAAATAACACACTTACTAGCCAAACTAAGAGTACCTACACAGGATTTTGCACCAGTTTAATTAAACTGATTTAAAAGCACACTTTTAGTTAAATCAGTGAAACTTCTGAGTATAGACAAGGCCTGCGTGAAGAGTAGTCAGGCCTCCAGCATGCTGTAAACATAATACTGGCAGAAGATCGGTTTTTAACTGTGCATTCTTCTTCGAGTGCTTGCTCATATCCATTCCATTAGGTGTGCGCGCGCCGCATGCACGATCGTC